TATATCATTACCACTAAAAAAAATTAACAAATAATAATTTATTTTATTCAACACCCTAGTCAACAACAAAATGATAAATTGTTAAATTTATTTTTTTTATATAAATTTATCAACATGGTAAATTAGTTAAAATTTTGTTGTTTTTTAATAACAATTATACAATAAAATTATTAGTATTTTTTAAAAAAATAAATATTTTAACTTAAAATTTACTATTTATTAATATATATTAGTATATATATATATATATACCTATGAATAATTATATCTAATTAGTTATAACATGATATACACGACAACAACAACACGTGATTTAAATTAAAGGGGGAACTGTATGTATGATAGCTCAGGTAGTTTTTTGTTGTTGTTGTTGTTGTTGTTGTTGGATAGTTAACCTAACCCTTTATGAATAACCCATACTACCAAACAGTTATATAACATTAAATAAATTATACAATTATATAATTAGCCCCCAAGTGTTAAATGTTTTTGAAAAAAAAATTATTTATATGTATGGTATGTATGTATGTATGTATGTATTCATATAATATACTGTACTGTATATGATTTAAACCCGTAAATACTTATAACTATAATACCTATGGATAATACAGATAATAATAATAATAATAATAAAATTTATTTAAAATGAGTTAATACTCTCATCTGAATTTGTAACTTATATTACAAAATATTTTTAAACAAAAAAAACAAATTCAAACTAATAATAATAATAATAAATTTGAGAAATAAATATATTTGAATAAAATTCAAATAAATAAATAAAATAATAATAATAATAATAAGACTATATATTAAATAATTTATATTATTATTATTATTTAAGCTTTAAATTTTAAATTTTAGACAATTTTTTCTCCAATAATAATAATAATACAGTATATAATCGAAATAAATATTGTATTTTACATATAAATAACTGATTTTTTCTTTACATATATTTGTAGATATTTTCATAAAAATAATATAATATTTTTTACATATATATATATATATATATCCAAACAATTTATTTTGTGTAACAACACCCAAAAATAAAAAATTATGTAAATTTATTAATTATTTAGTATTTATTTTTTTCTCTCTCAATAGTTATGGTTATACAATAAAATCCTTTTATATATTTTTGTCATTATTATTATTATTGTTATAAATTTTTATACATTAGTATATTTATTAAACCTATTTTTTGTTGTTGTTGTGCTAATAAAACAAAAAACTAAATCAATTATATATATATATATAATCAATAATATATATATCAGACACACAAACCTATTATTATTATTTTAATTATTACTATTATTATTATTATGATTATTACTAGTAGTATATATACTGTATATTATATTAATTCATTAGTATTAACTGTATAACTGTATGTAAATATCGGATTCATTAGTTTATATATGAAATATATTAATGTATATTATTATTATTACAATTTTGTTTTGTATTTCACAGAAATTTACATAAATATAAGATTATATTACAATATATATATATATATATATATATATACCCAATGAATATATTGACTTTGAAAATGATTATTACAATTGGATTTGTATTCAATGGGGGATATAATCAATGCCGGAGTTAACAAAATTATTATAATATTCAATATATATATATATATATATATATTATACAGTATTTAACTAAACTAAAAAAAACTTGACGCCCAATACATATTTAATTTAACAATACAGTTATATATATGATTTAAATATTATAAATATATATAAATATATTATAATAATACAGTAATACTACTTATAATAATAATAACTGTATTTAAATAATTTTGATTTTTCTGTGTGTATGTGTTAATACAATTTTTTTTTAGTTTTACATATATATATAATATATATATATTTATAAGATATGTATTTTAATTTGTATGAAAAAATATAGTTATTTAAACCGTTAAAAAATTAGATAATTTAGTTTTAATGCAAATAAGATTACTTACAAATAAAATACTAACAATTATTTTTTGTTTAACTATTTTTTAAATATTAATTATTAATTTAATTATCAAACAATTCATAGAGAAAATAGTTATTTCATAATATCAATGCATAAGTTTTTTTTTTAAAAAAATTTTTGTTTAAAATTTTATTTGTGAACAAATAATATAATATGCATTAAAATTTAAGATTAATTTAAGTTTAATTTTATTTTTCTTTACTTAAACTATTGTCTAAATCTAATAATGATATCATTATAAAACAATTTACTATTGTGTTTATATATTTAAATATATATATATACTATAAATAGCATAATTTAATAATATTTCTCTCATAAAATTGCTATTTAATAATGTTTTTAAAAATATATTAATTAATTAAATGTTAAACATGTATTCAAACATTAATGTTAAAATGATTTATCATTTTTTTTAGAAAAAAATGAAAATTAAATATAAAGTAAATAATTATTCAGTAACTTTCAGTTATATTATGTTTTTTAAAAATAACTAATAAATTACTTATTTTTTTAAACATATCAAAACTTTCAATTACTGTACATTATTTAAATAATAATAAAAAAATTATTTTTATTGAATATATTAATATTGAAAAATGTTTTTATTTTAAAAACCATTAATTTTCATATATATATATATATAGTTATATGAAAACTATTAAAATATACCATAAAATACCTAAAAATAGTATCCAAAAAAAATTATATTATATTATATTTACTATTCATAATTAAACCCAATTACTATATATATATATAATATATATATATATATATATATATATATATATATACTGTATATATATATATATATACTGTATATATATGTGTAGACAATACTAGACAAACAAAATCATTGCCATTAATAACATTTGTGTGTTTTTTTATGATAACAATGACTTGAATAATAATAAGTATTAAATTATTTTGATTTTTTTTGTTGCTATAAATATAATATATGCTGAATATTATATAAGTAGTGATTTATTTTTATTTTTTTTGATTTCATTAAATATTAAAATACATTATTAATTATATCGTATTAGTAGTAGTAGTAATAATAGTAATAATCTTAATAGAAAATCATATTAATAGAAAAAAAATTAAACAATAAAACAATAAATATTAAAAAATTAATTTTATTTTTTTTTTGATAATCAGATTTAGAGAAAAAATTTTTTTATTTCAATCATTTATTTTCAGATTTTATTTTACTCTCATTATTAACAATTATCTCTCTCTCTCTCTCTCTCTCTCTCTCTCTCTCTCTCTCTCTCTCTTTAAGTATTTAATCTGATTTAGAAAATATAAATTAAAAAATCTGGGCTAACATTATGTACAGTACTATATATATATATAATACAGTATAACCTCCAGTGAAAAAAAAATTACTTATATATACTGTATATACAATAATTTTCTCTGTTATTAATAATAATACTATTATTACGGATGACTATCTATACATATACTCTCTCGTAATGTAGTAATACCTGTGCTAACTATTAATAATAATAAGTCCAGCACTCGATTTCTAAACCAACTAAACAAAAAAAAATTTAAATACCTGTCCTCTAGTTAGTAGTAGTAGTAGTAGTAGTATTACAATATACTAAATGTATTTAAAAAAAACTATTATTAATATGTATTTAACAATAACAACAAAAAATTTAGTACAAAATATCGCTTTTGGTCACAACAATTAATTCATACCCCAAAAAAAAATAAATAAATAAAATGTTATATTAAAACAATTAATCGTGATTTTCTAGTATTTTTAATACATACTAAATAAATACATAATAATTAATATTAATTTTTTGTTTTATTCTCGTTTAGTGAAAGAGATATTATTATTATTATTATTATTATTAGTGTCAGACATATAGAAATTTTTTTTTGTTTCGCAAAAAAAATCATTAATTATTTTTTTATTATTATTAGTACTGTTTAAGCAAATGCTCTAAATAAACAACTAAAACATTATTATCATTATTATTGATAATAAAAAAACAATATTATATATATATATATTTAGATATATATGTTGTGTTTGTGATAATTGATAGAAAATAATGATATATCATATATGATAATACTATTAACTATATATATATATATATAGATTTAAATAATTTAATCTAGATAAATAATAAAAATAAATATTTAAAAAAAAATTGTTGTGTGATCTCAAAATAAATAAAACAAAAATTATTTTAATCATTAATCATTTTTATCCAAAAAAATAAATTAAGTATTTTTATATTAATTTAAATAATTAATCAAAAATAGTATTTAAATACAGATAATAGATATATAAATAGATATATTAGTAATTTAAACTTATTTAATGATAATAAACACAATAAATTAATATATAAATATACAATAAATATAAATATATAATTGTATGTATTTTTAAATAAAAAATTAAGCATATTTTTTTGATTTAAATTGTTGTAACTTTTTTTAGGTTTTTAAAAATTTAATTTGATTTTAAAAAATATTTCGCGGTCAATTTACTTTATTAAAATAACCAGTTTTTTAACCAGTAACTATTTTAAACAAAAATATAGCATTGCACAATATAATTTTTTTTTAAAAATTAAAAAACTAGCATGTCAAGTTTTTACAGTTTATATTTCTATTGATTAACCACTAGAGGGCAGCGCCTGTATATCAATGAAACACTTTTATTTATATTACAGTTTGTTATTTAATTTTTTTTTTATAAATATATATTAATTTTTAGCTAGCTAGTTTTTTATGTGGCATATTGTATTTTTTTTGTTTATAAATTTAAGTAAGTAAAATTTTTTTTTTTATTTTTTTACATAGACTAATTTTATATTATTTAATTTTTAATTTTTTATATATTAATTTTAGCTAGCTAGTTTTTTTATTTGGCATATTGATTTTTGTTGTTTTGTTTATAAATTTAGCTAAAATTTTAATTTTTTAAAATTTTTTTTACATAGACTTACCGGTAAGTGTAGCAAATCGTTGAGCCGGTGCTTAGCAGCACCTTTATGTAGGCGACAAATAACTAGAAACTCGTCCTCCGTGTCCTGTTTGTCTTTTAGTAAACTATATAAATTTAAAAAAAAATAATCAAGGTTATTAAATTATAGACAAAATTAAATAAAAAAATATAGTAAATTAGTAAAATTTAATTTAATTAATGTTAGGTTCTCAGTGTAACTAATAATTATAATAATATCAATAGATTTATATTTATTATAATTTTTCTATTGATTAAATAGTTACAGTTTTTTTTGTAAGTTTAAATTTTTGTAAAAATTTAATTATAATAATAGAAATTAATCCAAAAAAAAAATAATTAATAACAATTTTTGTTTAATAAGTATTATTTGAATTAATAATAATTATAAAGTATTAGTTATTAACTTAAAAACTAAATACCAACAAAAAAAACATTTAAAAGCTTTTTAAAAAACATACTAATATTTTGTAAATTTTTTTTTTAAAATTAATAATCAATTAGTTGCAAAAAAATAAACTAATTATTGTATTTAGTTTTTTTTTAAATATTTTTTGTTTGTTTGTAAATTATTTAATCCTATCATACAATACATAAAATAATACTAATAATAATAATCTAAATTATTTATTAATAATTGTCTTAAAGTTATATATATATATAAAACACAATTACAAATGTAAATTAAAAATAATAATATAACTAATAATATTAGCGGTTTAGTAGTTAAGTCCATATATACTATATATATATATATAATAGTATAGTAAATAAAAAAAATTTATGTTAAATATATATATAATTTTTTTTTATTGATAAGTACTGCTAATAACAGTAACAATAATCATAATCTCATTGAAAATAAAATGGGATTTAAATAATTAAATTATTTAATACCAAGAAAAACAATATAATAATAATAATAAACATTAAATAAAAACAACACAACATTCATAAGATTATAGTAATAATAATACTTTTTTTTAAGAGACACACAAACAAAATGATTAATAAATAATAATAATAAAAGTAATAATCCGTTTGCGACCCAAATGTCAACCAAAAAACAAAAAAAAATAAAACAAAAAAAATTATGTAAAAAAAGTAAAAATACTTTTTTGAACTCAAAAATAATATTGTAATGTAATGTCTGTACTAAATATATATTTTTAAAAATTTTTTTAACTAAAAATACAGTACAATAGCTTAAACTATAGCTAAAAAACTAAACAACATTTTTTATTAAATAATAATAAATTTTGTTAAATGTTTTTTTTTTTGTAAAATACTTGTAATAATTATAATATTTTGATAATAATAATAATAATAATAACAATAATATTGTTTTACAATATATTTCTATATAAAAAAATAATACTATAATACATAATAGTGTTTATAATGAGATTATTATTATATATTGTTTTATTAGTAAAAAAAAGACATACAATACTAAAGATATAAATATAAATATTTTTATTATACTTATTATTATTATTATAATTTTTTAATTATTTTTGATACACTGTTTATTGCTAATTAAAATTTAAAAAAATATTGTATTAAAAACATTGAACTTGAATTTATAAATATTTTTATTTTATCTGAATAAATAACATACAAAAATAATTGTTTAGTTATTTAACATAATAATTGAAAAAACAATTTTAACTAAAAAGTATTTTACTATCGATATAATTGTAATAATAATAATAATAATACATTGCATTTAAAATTAAAAAACAATGTCAATAAAACTTTATTATTATATTAGAAAATATATTTTGTTTTTTTTTGTTTTGTTGAAATAAATAACAATTAAACAAAAAAGTTTATTTGTTTATTATTATTTTTTTTTGGACAATAAAATTTGTTAGATATGCAAAACAAAACAAAAAAATAATTTATATACTATTATCTAAATTTTTATATTTATTTAGTTGTTATATCCCACTAACACATAAAATAAATAATTTTTATTAAACTTATAAATAAAGTATATATATAATACTGTAATACTGGTATTGATATTGTTTTTAATAGACATTATATAACTATAAAAATCAAATAAATAGCTTTTAAAAAAAATATCACTTTTGAAATATTTTATTTATATCTATATTATACTTAGTTTATTGAAAATAACTTAACAATTATATTATGTTTTACATATTATTTTTGATATTAAATATAAATGCCATTTGAAATCAACAATAAAATCAAAAATCATTTTTTTGTGATTAATATTATAATTACTAAATATTTACTCATAAAATACAACATAATAATTATTTTTTAAAAATAAATAAAATATGTTAATAAAAAACTTTTTAAAATAATATTTAAGTGTAAAATAAACCATTTTTTTATTACTTTAACTATTGTGATATATTTAGTATTATAAACAACAACAACAAAATTAATAATAAATTTTTTAAATAAATAATTACTACAAAACAATTAAAATCAATTTTATTTTAATAGTAAATAAATCTATTAAAAAAAATATTTGTAAAATACTAATAATAATTACGTTATTTTATATCAATTATTTTATTATGTTTTATTATCAATTGAAAAAAACACATACATTTTGCCATTAAATAAAATATATGTCAAATATGTACAGTAAATATCGTTATATTTGACATATAAATACATTTATAACATATTATATTTCAAAATACAGTATATATTATTGTTATTGTGTTATTAGTTTTTATTGTTGTCTAAGATTTTTATTGATACTTATTTTTATTATTATTTATTTTTATATTTTTTTTTTGGTAGACTAATGTTAACCTAATAATACTATTTATATATTATTATTATTATTATTATTAGCCCTGAAATTTATTTTTATTTTGTTTAAATACATACATATTTTTTGTTACATACATTCAAAAAACATATTCATAACAAGTATTATATGATTGATTAGTTAGTATTGAATTTCAAACATTCAATTAAATCATATATTTAAATATATATATATATTTAAATTTAAATATATCATAAATATATATATATATATAAAAGTTAAAAGGGGTAATTGGTAGCAAATAGTTTTTAAATATATATATATACATATATGTATGTCAAGTACAGTGTACACCCCCTGTGGGCACTATTATACTACTAGTCTATACTAAACTATATATTATTTTAGGTGCTAAAACACAACAACATATTTAAAATAATATTGAAAAAAGTCTAACCATAAAAAAAAATTTGCATAAAAACTATGATAATAATAATAATAATCGGTTTTTAAAAATAATAATATTATGTTTCACTACTCAAAGGAGTAGAGAGAGAGAGAGAGAGAGAGAGAGAGAGAGAGAGAGAGAGAGAGAGAGAGAGAGAGAGAGAGAGAGAGAGAGAGAGAGAGAGAGATGAGATGAGAGGGTATCCTAAAAGTCGGCATTAAATTTAAATATCAGACATAAAACCCGGAAATTGTATTATAAAACTAAATATATAATACATTTTATTTTAGTTTTTTTTAATTTTGTTGGTTATATGTGTGTCTAAATATATGTGTGTCTGTATGTATAGTATATATATAAATATTATATATATCAATGTCAATGTCATATACAGTATTACTAACTAAACTAATAGATATTTAGCTCTCAATTTTTTTTTGTAGACAACTTTTTGTTGTTGTTATTATTATTATTGGTTTTTATATATATATATATATCTCACGTTATATATAATTTTTTTTAGTATATAATATATACAGTAATATATCTAACATAATATGGATTATTATAATCTGTAATATTGTATAATCTATAAACAATGTATTATATAAAATATATAATGAATAAAATGTTTTATAACTTTTAAATTTAATTTCTAAATAATAATTATAAATATACATATACTAGATATTCAATATATATATATATAATATAGATATATATATATTCAATATATATAGTAATACTATTAAATGAAATATTGTTTGTATCGATGAGTTTAATCAAATTGGTTTCAACTAATCAATTGTTAATCAAACTATAAATTTTTAAAAACTATTTATATTTATAGATTTATTGTATAGTTGTATAACTACATAGTGTTAACCCATGTTTTTTTCAATGGTATGTTTAACAAAAAAAAAGTGTGAGAAATAAAAATAATACATTGATTTGCATTACAAACACACACACACATACACACATACATACATACATACATACATACATACATACATACATACATACATACATACATACACACACATACATACATACATACACACACACACACACACACACATGTTTGAAGTGTTGAAAAACTGGTCTACAAATTACAAAATATACTGTAATATTACCCGAAAAAAAGTCAATCATTTAACTAATAATAAAGAAAAAAATCTATAAAATTTATTGAAAAAAATGATTCAATGATTTTATTATTATTATTAAATGATTAGGTATTAGTGGTTGTATATAACCAATAAAATAAAAGTTATACAAAAATTTTTAAATACAACAATAAATGTTGTTTGATATTCATTATGAAATTATTAGCTAATTATAGATAACAATGAGAGATAAGGGGAGGGGATGGTTAGGTATAGGGATCGGGATATCGGAGGGGGGGAGACCTGTATTTTTTTGCATCAAAAAATTACTGATTTTAAGCTATTGATTAGTAGGTATATAATATATGTATATATATATACTTATACATATAAGCTTTGGGTCACACATCATAACCGGGCGATGAGATAACACATATTAAAAATAAAAACATTTTACTAATATTATTATATCAGATAATAATAATAATAATAATCCAACTTATATGATATCTCATTGATATGATGTCTATTATATTATATTAAATATATAAAAAAAATATTTTCAAATAGTTTTTCATGACTTTAAGTTTAAAATCTATTTAATAATAATAATAATAATAAATATATTCATAGGACTAGTAGTCAGTCATGAAATATTTTATATATATATATACAGTATATATATAGATATTTAACTGATTTTAACTGTCAGTTTTGATGAGAGAGAGAGAGAGAGAGAGAGACTATATTTTAATCTATAAAAAAAAT